ATTAGGTTTCACGAGGTCCCTTTAACTTGTTCCCGTACAAGAGGATCCATGTCTGGATTCGGTGAGTCTAAATATTGTTTAAATGTGCTGGATCAAGAGCTTTCGTCCATATTTCTGGCCAAATTGTTTATTCCTGTTTCGATTCTGAAATATTTTAAAACTCGACATTTTTGCATTTGATCGTTGCTGTGAAGCAGCACACAAGCTGAATTTAATTTTTATTTATGTGTATTTTTTCTAGTGCCATGTCCCTACAGAGCGTAGGCAATCATAGCTCTCCAGATAATCCTTTTCTTTATTATCCGTGGATTATCATGATTAATTGGGAAATATAATCAAGTATTTGCCAATTGATTTCTCTACAGTTTTTTTTTATTTCAGTGTTTCCTTTCTGTTAGACTGAATGCCAATCAAGGCTACAAGGCCTAATCTACCCTACTGTTTAACCTGTAGCTAGAGAAGTGATGGATTCATGCCCTTCCCAAGGGTATTTGTGCGAAAGTGATCGCAACAGACTAAACCGATAACCTTTATACAAACTGCCCATCCCTTTATGAGTCTAAATACGTTTAAAGCCATAGTGGCGCATATGCAGCCATTTGAGCACGTGGTTAGAATGTTCTCATTCCGACCATGAGATACGGGTTCGAATCTCACCATGGTCGATTTGTCAGGAAGGAAACTTCCTGATGTTATCGGACTGAAGATGTCGATTCCAGCATGCGGCATATTTGGAAAGTGCCTGAAAACCATTGGGAGCCGTCGGTAGCTGTGCTAGCACGAAGTCACAAGTCATCATGTCCGAGGGCTTGAGCGTCCTGGCCTTGTTCAAACTGTTGAACGCGCTAGATAACACGCCCTTTCCTAGAAACTGTAACTAAGGTCTGCTAAGCATAGTTGTAGTATAAACCACAAGTGGGATCTGTGTTAAAAAGGAATGCACCTGAGCAAGCGTCTGCAATGGGGATTGGCTAGCGGCCCTAGTAGACGGGTATCCTCGTATAAGAGTGGTCAGCTATGCATACATACGAATGCAACCAGTTTGGTGATGACACAGCATCGCTAGACGGAAGGATTCCTAAACTGAAGCCAACCGCCCTGCCGAATTAACGGTCAAAGGACCTGAACATACATCGGAAATTGGAATCTCACGTACCATGAATACATTATAAAAATTCAGTATGTGCAACTAATATATACCAAACACATATCTCAGTATATGGATCAGTTATAACAAATTTAGTGGAGAAGATAAGTAAACTGAACATGGAATAGGCTGCAGTAGGGACAGTTTCGCCCACCGCCGAAAGTTGCAAAAAAAAAACATTAGCATAATACTTGAATCATGTTCTCAAATAGCCTCGTCAGCTCGAGACTTTCATACGGATGCGATGCATGAAACCCAACCCGTTAAGAAATTGTCAGCTGTATACAGCCATTTATCTTAGTTCGCTGGTTAAAGGTGGCTTGGAGCGGATGAAGCCTGTAGGTCTTAGTGAGGACCATCCTTCTTTAAACTTCATTAAAAGGTACTACAGAATTACCAATAGAGATAAACGAAAGAACAGAAACCATATTACTTGAGGACTTCCAGCCGCAGCAACAACGAAAATAGATAGCACGAAGAGAAAATAATGACATAAACAATAGTTTGACGTTCCACACGACTTCAAACAAAAAGTTAGGGAAAAGAAACAGCCCTAATCAGCAGTAGAAATAAAAAGGACAGTTGCTAGACTTGAGAAATTTATTTCTATGTAAAACTCTTTAAAGATTTAACTGATATTAACGCTGTTTGCTCGGTCAATGAATGCTGAATGTTTCCTTATAAGGAAATTCCTAATATCGCCATTACCCTTAGAGATGAGGACAACAGATGTTACACTTTGGCCACTGGCCTATGGCCAGGAATTGATGAAAAGCATAACTCGAATCGCATAAGCTGCTAGGTCAATGAATGCTGATTTTTTCTTTAGAAAGAAACAGTTTATATTACCATAACTCCCTTTTTGTCTTCTTCAGTGTACCGTTCCCCTTCAGGACATGGGCAGTCATGGCTCTCCGCAACTTTCTCTCTTTTGTAGATCTTAGTAAGGCTTGTATCTTTCCCAGCTCTCTTACTCCCTGTTCTTGTAAGATCCTGAGGTGCTACACTTGCGTAGATATTTCGTAAAGATGTCTATATATATTTATAGTTTTTAGGTGTATATATATATATATGGGAAGAAGATTTAGATATCAAAACATTTTTAGGATAAGCCATGAGAAAGTGAAAAAAAGAAATTCGTGTGATGCATTTCATCCTTTCAAATTTACATTATCAGAAACATCACTTTAGTCCGATGAAATCAGAAATGGCGAAAGGTGTCACACGTAAAAATTTGTTTCCATTTCGTCATAGATTTTCCTAAAGATGCTTCCCCGATCGCTACAATCTTTATATCTTCAAATCTAAAATCAAAAGTTATCTATCCTACATATCCTCATAACCTGCATTTCTTACCTCTTCTTATAACAACCTCATTCAGTTGAGTGTCTCTTGGGCCTTGTATTACAGGAACAATAGTATAAAGAACATGCTCACGGCAACTGAAGAATTAATCAGTGAATCTAGATTGACTTCTATTTTGCGGTTTATCAATCCATTGAAGGTTTGTTTTTTTAAGCGTTTCACCCCAAGCAAGGCAGGAAGCCACTAGCATGCAAGGGGTTACAGAGAGTTGGAGCAAGAGCAAATAGGAGTTTTAGAGGAAAGGATGAAGAGAAGGATAGGGGATAGATCAAGGTATCTGGAGACGTCGATTGATATTACATTTGAATAGTTGGAAATTATAGCTATCAGGGAAACAGGAAAAGGGAGGGAGTTCCACAGGCGAGAGGTGCGAGACATGAAGCTATTGGAGTAGCAGAGACGGCTACATTTAACAGTTTCGACAGTGAAAGGGTGAGAGCGAGATGCCAGCAGAGTTGAGCGCTTAAATTCATGAAGTCTGGGAACCAGTGAAAGCAGCTCATCGGAGCAGTTATCATGAAAGTATTTGTAAAAAAAAGACAGAGGGAGGCGACGACACGTCTGTGAGAAAGCGACTGCAGACGAGATGCCAGATCAGGGCCAATTACGCTGCATATCCGTCCTTGGATTTTATCAAGAACCTTGAAACAAACAGAAGGGGCACCAGAAAAGATTCCCATGTTGTAAGAATTTGGTGGGGGTGAATTTTAGTTTTTGAAATTCTTTTTTAGAAAAACCGGAATCCTGTGGACAAGTCACATGAATGAGTTTGCGGGGTCCTTTTTTTAAATATTTTATTATTATTATTATTATTTCCTTTGATTTCTGGTGTATACACATTTCTTTCCGGGTCCCGCCCAGACACCTAAGGTCAGACATGGTATCATGACATTTTCCACTGAGCAATTAAAAAAACACAACAACACCCATATTTTACATAGATAAAGTCCTTCTAAGGTATGGGCTGTACTCATGAGAACAATTCTTTGTATTTCTTTAAGGCATAGGCTTCCAGGAATCCCTTCATTGAGTATACTGGAACTTTTTCCAACCAGTCCGAGGCCTCCAACTACAAAGGAGATTGTTGATGTTCCAATGTACCAGTGTGCAATTAATAAGAAATGACTAGATCAGCTACATTGTCTTAACATCAATAATAGGACGAAGGCGATCAATTGTAATCAATTGTTAACCCATCGACAAGATCATGAAGTTCTCAATGACTATATAATCTTGTCTGAGCTCAACCTACGACTACGATGATGAATTGTTATTATTGTGTGTGGTATGATATTACTAGAAAGTAATTTTAAGAGCCTAATTACCAAGTCCTCGCCGGGACTTATGAGTAAAATGGGTAAAACTGTAGGAGAGGTTTTGTTTAGATGGGTAGGGGTTTTGGATGTTATGTGCAGATCCGCACAAAGCAATCTTTTGTAGATCTGAAATGCGTTCAGGAATTTTTTTCATATGATTTTGGGTAGCCTTCTTTATCACACCCAATTCCCATATCACAACATTGATAATCGTGGTTTTAAGTTACCACATTTTTCTCAATTCGATTGACAATTCCTTATAATTTGGCTGTTTTTAAAATGATTTTTTCTTTTTAGAAACATTGGAATCCTGTGGCAAGTCATATCATTTAGTTGGCAGTTTCCTTTTTTGAAATCTTTCATTATTATTATTATTATTACGGATTAACCAATTGATAAAGACTGAAGAATAGATTCGCCAAAACATTGACTTACCATCAAGAATAGGACGAAGGTGATCAACTGTCAATAAATAAATTTGGTAAACAATTGATTGAACAACGCATCCATGTCATTGCCCCTATCCCAATGCCCCTATATCATTGGCCCTATCACAATGCCCCTGTGTCATTGACCATATCACAATGTTCTTATTTCATTGCCCTTATCTCAATGCCCGTATCACAGCAGGGATAATTGCAGTTTAAGTTTCTACATTTTGTTACTTTGATTTGCTGGTACTTATTATTTGGCAGTTTTTAAATTGCTTTTTTTTTTAAATATTGAAATTCTGTGGGCAAGTCATATCAGTTAGTTGGCAGGTTCCTTTTTTGGACTCTTTCATTATTATTATTATTATTATTACAGATTATCCACTTGATAAAGACTGGAGAATAGATCGGCTGAAACATTGTCTTACCATCAAGAATGAGACAAAGGCGATCAATTATCAGAAAGAAACTTGGTAAACAATTGATCGAACTTTTTTCTACTGATTTTCATCAACCTTTACCAGATTATTTAAAGGCAGAAAATACTTTTTGTTAGTTTTGAAGAATGTTTTAAGATAATAATGATTTAGTGATACAAGTCTTGCTAATTAACCCATAACTGGGGGGAAAGAGGTGGATTCATAACTTTCCCAATAATATTAGCGCGTAACTGAATATAACGAACCCTACTAGAATTTCTAATTCCGAGCCGTTATCTATTACACCACCCGCATAGCCAAGCTTACAGCACTTGACATTCCCAAGCGGTTACCCATTTAGGTACTGACCAGGTTCGAGGTGTTACTTAACTTCGGTGTTTGTACGAGACTCTGTGTTTCAACGTCATATGGCCGCAAGCCTTCCAGTAATGTCAAAACTATGGTAAAACAGATTATTGTAACGAACACAAAACGGAATTAGTTTAATGAATTTCAAAAGGACATAGAAATGCTTTTCCTATGCATCGATTCATTTTAACACGGATTTACAGCCATCTCATAACGCTTGTAGGATTCGAGCAACAAACGTTGTAGCCCGTGCGGCCAGGTCACTGCAAACGACCAGCTAACGAACACTCGGTCAGTGGAACAAACCAACCGTTACTGCGACCTCATGGCTACCTCCGAGGTCCCTGCCATCGACTGGCAAACGGACAGTCGGACATTGTTTCTGCTACATCGCTTGTTCTACTTGCAAACAACAACAGCATCAGTCACTACCTCTACGAAGATGACGACGACGACGACAACGAAAGTAATAATAATAATAATAACAATACTAATAGAAAGCGGTCACTGCCGTATGGCGCATTGGTCATACGACCGATACGCTTTATTGCCTCGGCAATGGCTTATGCAGACGATGTGGGTAGGTTTGTTTTTTTTTCTAGGTTGCATCGAGCCGAGAGCAGAAATTATTTTTCTTCTCTTCTTTGTGTCATGCTCCTCCAGAACTTTGGCAATTATGGCTCTTCTCAATTTCCTGTACTTAGTAAATTTTGTCTTTCTTCTATATCTTCTAAACCCTGTTCTGCCAACCATTTACAAAAACTCGTTAAGTAGGTCATTCTCTCTCTCTATATATATGAATGTATACACTCACACACACATATATATATATATATATATATATATATATATATATATATATATATATGTATATGCATGTGTAAGTGTGCGTATATATATATATGTGTGTATATATATATATATATATATATGCATATGTAACTATGTATATATATGCATGTGTATGTATCTACGTGTTGTTTATATATATATATATATATATATATATATATATATATATATGTATGTATATATGTATGCTGATTCATGTGCAAGCTAACGGAGACACATATGCACACAAGGTACACAAAAATGGAACTAGATTTGACAGTGTTAAGGGTAATGTAGAGATAGGAAAACATCTCTCATCAACACATCTATCATCACCACCTCCCAGGCCAAGCCTAATGATTTTATTACCATTTGGGCAGAAATTCACTTTTGCCAACTGTCCACAAATGAGATCAAGGCTCACTAGAAATACAGAAAATGAAGAATGAAACATTAAAAGAACATAAGGAAAGTTTATTCCTTTAAAAATTGATTCCTTTAATTTGCCTGAAGAAGGTCACGAAACCGGAAACCCGTGTAGCAAAAATATGAAGACTGAAACAAAAATTATAAACTAAAATAAATCTTTTTTTAAAATATACATTTTCTCTCGTTGGAACAATTATAATCTTTTCCATATATATATATATATATATATATATATATATATATATATATATATATGACAACAGTTTGGAGGTCAATCTCTGAATTTTTGAAGAATAGCTGAAAAATTTTCAATGGTATATATATACATACATACATATATATATATATATATATATATATATATATATATATATATATATATATATATTCTTTTCGAACTGCCATTTGGACCTTCATGACGGAAAAAAAAACGATGTGTCAAAAAGAACGGGTTTCCATTGATACCGCTATTAATTTCATCTCCTTGACTCCTCAGCAATGTTTGTTTTTCAATGGGATTATTAGCATTGCAATAAAACCTGAATACATTATGGCTTTCCACAATTTCCTGTACTCTGTTGATCTTAGTAAATTTTGTCTTTCTGCTGTATCTTCTAAACCCTATTCTTCCAACCATTTACACAAACTCGTTAAGTAGTTCATTCGCTGCTTTCGTCTGTTCATCTAGACTTCATTATGTTCTGTGAGTGTTAAATTTTGCAAGCCCTCTTTACTCATTATATGCCCTAGAAATTTCAATCGACACTTTCTGATGTTATACGTCCTTTTTGTTTTAATTTTCTCAAAAAATTCTAACTACTCGGCCACGGACCCAATGTGTGTGTGTGTGTGTGTGTGTGTGTGTGTGTGTGTGTGTGTGTGTGTGTGTGTGTGAAAACGGCGTATCAAAAGAACGGGTTTCACATTGACACCCCTATTAATTTAACTACCTTGACTCATCGGCAATGCTTATTGTTTTTAAAGCAATTATTAGAATTGCAATAAAAACTGAACATATGATAGCGAATTTATAGATTTCATGTTCTTGGGAACTGACAAAAATAATAATAAACGCTATTTATTTATTAGATTCTTTATTGGAATGGTTGGCAAAACATCAGCTAATAGCCAATTTATTCAAATTTTATAAAAATGATAAATGATAAAGATTTTCTTGAATCATGAATAGAAATTGTTTTCATATTTATTTCTTTATAAATTAGTAAATAATAAATATTACATTGTATTAGTTTTAATACAATTGTATTAGTTTTTAGAATGTTGTAATTATAAAATTATCCTTGTAAATAAACGACTCAGGCGTGGCTGCTCAACAATGTTCCTCACCACTGGTCGCCGGACTTGTGGCCGCCCTCCTAACCTGACTGCAACCCCCTTGACTGTTTCTTCTAGGGCGTGATCGAGGCCAAAACCAACAAGCACGCCCACAACACGGTCGACTCTCTGAAGGCTGCCATCGTGGAGACATTCACCGCTATGGACAAAGACGTGGTCGTCAAAGCGTGTGACTCATTTCGCGCCCGCCTTGAGATGGTCGTCGCCGCCGCCGGTGGTTACATTGAAAAATAATGTACTATGTACCTCTAACTGTTGCTAAATATACTGTCGGGTATCTGCATAAACAAATTTTGTTTTTATTGCCTATTTCGTTTTCTTTTTGTCAAGTGTCGGATTTTGCTGCAACACCCTGTAGATTAAATACGAAAATGTTCGATACAAAAGGCGATGGGTTGACAGCACCAGACCACGAGTTTCGAACAACGATGGTCCCTGTTAATACCTACAGGTTTCGTCCAGTGGAAGCCATTTTTAAGCATTGACCTGAGAAAGCGTTTGCATAGTCTCGATCTGATAAGTTTATTTAAGAAAATGACTCAATGTTTTTCGTTTTGTAGCAATTTGCGGTGTTGGGCGAAATTATCCTTAGCACATTCTATTCTGTAATTCCCGTATGTTCTACTGGACCACATTTTAATACACTGTGTGATCAGAATAATGCACTTTGACTAAAATCTATATATAATATTATATGTTCTTGTATGTCCGTTTCTATGCATACCTGTTCATTTTTTCCAATATTTATCTATCTTTGGTTGTGTGAATGTTTTATGAGAGTAAGATTATCAATATATTTTTAAAGCAATTGATACAAGGTATTATGAATTGATATTATTGTATACATTTCATGCGATTTTTCTTCAGTGTAAAGGTGATTATGGTTCTCCACATCTTTCTTTTTCTTTAATGCCTATGAATTACCATTACCGTAGAGATGGACGTCTTTCCTTATAGACTTCTCTACAATTCTGAACTCAGCGTAGTATTTCTAGAGTGGCTGCCCCCACAATATTAGGGATCCTAGTCTGCCCTACTATTTTAACCTATTGCTGGGCTCAAAATAGATGAACATGTCTTTCCCAAGAGTATTTGTGCCAAAGGTTGCCAATATCTTATTAAGGTAATCGGTACAGTGATAATAATCTCATTTTTTTTATATGTAACACCATTTCTCTTTACCGTATAAGTGATCATGGCTCTCCCCAGCTTCCGTTTCTTTAATATCTATGAATTACTGAAATCCCTTAGGATAGATAAGGGAGTGGTTTCCCGTTGCCTTCTTCACGATTATGAATCCAGAGCAGTCTTTCTAGCATGGCCACCACCCAAGACTAGAGAGACTAAATTACCTTACTATTTAATCCATACATGGAGATGGGTTCATAGTTTTCGAAAAAAGTTTGTTCGAAAGTAAATGCAACAGACTAGGCGGGAATTTGAACACATCTCTCCAAATTCAATTTCTTGCCGATAACCGTTGCGCAACCGGCAAACCAAATTTATTTTACTTCAACTAGTAATAGAGAATTAGTTTTATACAGAAAACAGGAAACGATTTTCGCATTGCACCATTAGAGAATTCATTTAAATTCGCTTTTTCTGCTTTTTTTTTTTTTCTTGCATTGTTCTCTAAATTAGATTTTAGAATGTTGGTGTACCTCCCTACGACTACTGACACGATTGACGTCACCTTCCTACTATCAAATTAGAGTTAAATTAAAATAAAAAGGCGCATTAGGATGTCGAAAGATACCTTCCAAAAGCTAAGCAAAATATTATGAAAATTCTCGTTATAAAAAAAAAGAGCACTGAACTTTTATCTAATATCAGTTTTCTTATGGCAATGAATGCTGGGCAATCACTTCACAGGTGAAGAGACCTGATGAAACAAAATTGTGGTTCTACAGAACGATGCTAAGGATACCATAGACTGAAAATTTGAGCAATGAAGATTTTTTTGCAAAAATGAAAACAAAAATCTTCAGAGACAGTTGAAATTTCTAGGGTACATAATGAGGAAAGAGAGCTTGGAAAATTTAACACACACAGGACATACTAAAAGCAAGAAGAGCAGAAGAAAGCATAGCATAACCTACATAAAGGGCTTGTGTAAATGGTTAGACTAACAGGGAATAGAAGATATAGCAAGAAAACAAAATTTACTTAGCTACAAAAGACAGATTATTGTGTAGTGTCATGGTCGACCACGCCCTGAAGAGAGACAACATATAGAAAAAGTCCCTACGTGAAATACGATATAGCGAAATCATCTGCGAGATTTACAAGTTCGAACTAAAAAATTCGAGTAACGAATTCAACCTTAATTTAGTATGTGATTCACGTCAGGACTTGCCAGGAGTCCAAGTCCAAATTTGATGTCTATCAGAAACTTTAAGGAGATTGGTAACTCGAATATATACTGGATTCACCATAAGAGATATCAAAGTATAC